CGACCGTGCAGAAAACTTCCAGAAAACATTCGCCACGCACGTTGAGACTCTGAGCCTCCGGCCATTTGCCCATCGATGGGGATCACATCCATGTCGTCCAAAGCTACCCGGTAGGCATCACCTCGCAGCTATGCTGTGTTTCAACCTGCTGATGCAACCCTATCCAGATATATCCAGATGCTGATCGAGGCACGAATCCATTCCCAAGGCATTCCTGCTCATGCACACAAGGGTCATGGCTACTACCCCGCAGGGCTCATCGCAGCCTCAACGTCGTTCCCCTCTACAAACCCAGCACGACGGTCCTAGGCGCCCTTTCTTCTTTGGAACGAGCACCTCCCGTGAACCAAGGAGTTCAAGATGGAAGTGCTGCTGCTTAGCTGCTAAAGTGTAGGGCGGCGGGCTGCGTTTGTCTTCGGGGTGCAACAAATCCTCCAAAGCGGAACGTTTTTTTGGGGGGGCCTTTGAAGTGCGTTAAGGCTTGCCATGTTTAAAGACAAGCACAATGCATGCCTCGCCGTCCTTAGAATGAAAGTGATTGCAAAACTTGCAGAAGGGTGCTCGGGTGTCCCATCGCTCATGTGGTTTGGGGAACTCTACCGTAGGTGTGGGCCTGCTGTAGGACGGTCTCAGAAGTGGGACAAAAAGCGAGAGGGTTCGGGAGGAGCCTGAGAACTGTCCCCTTCCAAGGCTCACGGAGCCCTTCCAAGCCCGGGCACCTTGTGCAGCCGTCGGCTTCGGGAAACCAGGTACATGACAAGCAGCGCCGCCGCCAACGTGCTCAAGTTCAGCCCCTTGGGTTCCGATCCGGGAAATAGACCTTCTCGTCCGCCCTCACTCAACTTAGGCCCGTGCTGCGGCGACCAGCAGAGTCGTGGCCTGACAGGCCACTGCCGGGACGCCGTGCCCTGGCCCACCATTCCCCACCCATTCGCACCCGGTCGCCTTACCATTCTGCCTGCCAGTGTCTTTCACCGCCAGCGCCTGGCAGCTGACCACCACCTGGCTGGAGAGGCCAGTCCATGCCAGTCCCAGCACGCCCTCCGCCCAAGCGCAGACATCCTGAGACCCGGTCCACTTCGGTCCCGTTGCTCGGGGCCGTGGTGGTGTTGGCCACGGTGGTGGCCAGGGTGGTTGAGAGGAGCAGCTCAATGCCTTTGCGCTCGTTTCGCAGCTCACTATCCAGAAGATGCTGTTTGAGGGCCCAGTCGAAGTACGAAGGGATGTCATGGATTTGTTTGCACACCCTCCACGATAACAAGATGGGCTCGAGAACAGTCAGCCTACCGACTTGTTGCAGATTTCGCGCTTCAAATCCAAGCCTAGGCACTGCTCATGGCGTTCTCGACTCGCCTGGGAATTGCAGGGCCATCGGGCTTGGAATCTATCGCCCAAGCCTCGATCCGACTGGAAATAGCCACACGTTTCATGCCCGCTACGGACCACAACTGATCTCCAAACCAGAGCTTGGAGATTGTGAGAGTCTGTGGCGAAAGGGGAAGGAAATGGATCTGCTGTCAGGATTTTGCAGTTTGATTCTGGGAACGTGAGAAGGATCCTATGCTACAAGACTGTCTAGACCAGCCGATGGTATCCTCAAAAACTCCACCTCTCATCTTGTATACGAAATCCAAAATCCCAACCCTCCTGTCTCGCTTCACTCCATGAACATCCCCCACATCGATACTATGTTCTAGGAATCTGGTTGCACAATAAAGCTTTGTCCTACCCAGCTCTGCCCGGATCCATCGCCTGAGATGTTTCAGCAGCGGCCAGCGCGGCCACCCATGCGAAACCCTCACTGACAGGAGAGTTGCTGTAGATGCTGAGGTGCTTAGAACGGGGTGCGAGGAGGCGTTGGATCTGTCTCTTTGTGTTTCCAAGTCAGGGAGTTCTTCCCAGAGCTCCTTTCACTTGTGCTGCTAGCCAAAAAGGCTTTGCGGCAGAGATCCTTTAGCCAGAGGAAAGGGCTGACTGCGGAAGGCAAGACTCATGAACATCTTGCCACGGGCCATCAATCTTGGGAGATCGGCGTTGCAATGATCGCACCACACAGGCAACCTCAGAATGGCTTCGTCATTTCCTCACACTGCCACTCTTCCTTACCCGTGCCACCCGCGGTCAACTGCGACCCTTCTCTCAAACCTAGGCCATCTGTCTCTGTCACTGTGACTGTCTACCTTCTTGCCTGTTTCTCCGTCAGACTGATTATCTGTCCGATGAATGCCTTCGCACGATGTGCAAGGAATGTCCTGCTCGCCCGCGTGTGCATGTGTGACTGGATGCCTACATATATGCGAGTGTTTGTGCGCACATGTGCACAGGTCGTATACAGGTAACATGCACTTGCGCGCCAAGAGTGGTGCTAACATAAATGCACAGGCACATCGATACCGTGCTCTGGGCTTTTCGCAGTTGGGGTTCTACCTACACGTACACGATGCGCGGGGTGGCTGGATGCCTGGTGCTTGGCTAGGTATAGGATCTCTAACAACGAACATTAACCGTCATTAACATGTAAGACGCATCTCGTCCTGCATCGGGCCGCCGCCTGCTCTGCATTTCTGTTCTTATCTTTGTCCAAAATCTTTGCCACGCATGCGCGCACAGACAAAGACAAACATCTCTGCACGTGCTCAGGCATGCAATTTCAACATGTAGCAAGCCGGCCGGAGAATTGAATTGCAAAACCAAACTCCAGCACAAGCAAGAGCCTTATGCGCCAGTGTGAAGGCACGGAACAGGCTTGAAGTGCAAGTCTGGTTTGGCGGTGCAAAGGCAACCCTTGAAGCACAGCTGAGTCGAGGGCAGCAACAAACAGCATCCACACAACGTAAAGCCCAAGGACCTGGGCAAGGCGCACGCTGCCCAAGTCTTTCATGCAGAAGACTAAGAGGGCTGTAGATCGTGAGGTCACGGAGCCTCCCGAGTATTGAAACTTCACGAAGCAGAGCTAGCTCTGATATCTGACCTGGTAAAGGACTTCGGACGAAAGCTCGCAGGACAACTACCAAACTCGGTTTCCTGAGCTGCAGCAAGTCGACAGGAGTCGGGATAAAACGATTTCTGCACCAGTCATAACTCATAACGCCAATCACACAGTTCTCTGTCCAGTTTACAGAACATTTGTCCGCTCGGAAGGAACCAAGCGTGACAAGTGCAAGGGAGGCCAAACAGCACATGCTGAACGGTTCCGAGTTTTGGGGGCAGTTGCTTTTCGAGGCAAGAAACTGCAGCATGCAGCAACTTAGCTTCGGACGGCAACTATCCTCACCTTCTGACGCCTCGGGCATGACAAGCAAGCACCGTTTGCAGCCCGCTAAACGAAGGAAACGCAGCTCATCTTATATTAGCTTTGAACTGGTCTGCTCGCAGGCTTTCCCCATGGGACCCGTGCCATCTGACGAGCAAGGGTGATGCACTGGGCAGGTCGTCGCCTTCCGAAAAAACTGCGCAAAGATGTCAGAGCTTCGCAACAGCTCCCAACCATGGACATCCTTCAGAGTCTCTGGCTTTTGCGGAGTTTTCCGTCTGGAACGACATCGAGCGAGAATTGGACCTGTGGCATTGAAAGCCGAGTCATCATGAAGTGAGGAGGCTGCAACGGCCGGATATGTCTTCCTGCCTCCCTGGCCTTAGAAATCACAGAGGCGCAGAGCTTGTCCACATTCGCCTTGCGCAAACCATGGCTGCACCGCCCGCACCGTCACCGACTGTCACCCGATGACCAAAAGGCTGGGGAGCACACGGGCTCTGCTGCATTCCTGCAAAGCCAAGAATCGCCTAGAGCCTGAAACTGGCGGCAGTCCGACGTGAGGTGCCGTCCTCTTTGATGGATAGGATTCGCTTGTCTTGCTTCTGGAGCCTGGGCTGTGCGACGAAAGGAACGGATCCGACGACAGCTGACTTAGTCACCCAAGGAAGGGTCATCAGAGCAAGAAGCTTTAATTTAAGTGAACCGGCCCGAACGAGCAGAAACGCAACATGGAATCTACAGTATCGTAGTGAGCTTCTGGTTTCTGGTACCCAGCAATCTCGTCTGGGCCGGCCACTCTTCGGGAGGCTGTGGGGGGGCTCGCTGACCTGCGCAGCGACATGCATCGCCGGGGCACTGGCCATTGACGCTGCGGGAACCCGCCTCCGACCCCAGCTGCCCCGAAAAATCACCTGGGGCAGCGGGAGCAACTGGACACGGCAACACGGATCAGCGGTCTATTTACAGACTCCCGCGAAGCCGCGCGCTGCAAAATGCTGTATGGCTGCCTAAGCCTAAGCTCCGTTTGTCTCGTCTTGACGCTTCCCTGAAAACGCCCACGCGAGCGAAGAGTCTGAGGCTTCCGGCGAGCGACGGCTCCAGGTAGCACCTCCAAAGCCGTGCAGGGCCGTGCAGGGTAGAGATGCGGAAACTTCAAAAGTGTCCGAGTCCGAGTCCCTATGGGGCTCACGTTGCAATGAGGCCCCGGCCATTCATCACCGCATTTTCAAACGAAGCACAAGATAACCCCAACTCATCTTGAGCCAAGGTGTAAAGCTGCGCAGCCGGGCCAATGCAACAACGAAAAGCCTGAAGACCTGCAGAGAACATGTCATCAGATCGAGTGACAGGGAAGCAATGGGAGACTGAAACCTTACAGTCCTGATCTTGCCGCCTCTCTGCAGCAGCTGCGGACGCTCCCAATGAAGAAGATCAAGTGCTGCTATGTGCTAGAAGTAATGGCTTGCAGCGGGCATGCTCATCGGTCAGGAAGACGAAAGTGCTTCAATAAAGGTTGTGCTGTGGAAGCTGGACTCTCCGTCACGTGGGTGCACCAACTCTGACTAGTCAGTCTGCAGCTTCACAGGCATGAGCAGCACAAAAGGATGACAGTCAACGCAGTGGCGAGGCCATTGCCGGGACAACCTTGACCCTTTCATCACTTCGGCTCATCGAACATTCAGCAAAGTAAAAGCCCAGTCAATGAAGCACCCCGAAACACACTCTTGAGCTGGAGGAAGGCCACCGTGAAGCGTCAGGGACAGGACTCTCCTTCGCCATATTTTCAAGATGCTTGCTCTGGTACAGCCCTGCTCACTTCACACACCGAGCTTAACATCAGCCCTTCAGTCGATCTACCCCCGTCCTTGAGAATCTCTTGTGGACCCTGCGCGGCATCAAACTTGGATTGATAAGCTTGCCACTCCTGAGGCGCAAGGAGACCCAATAAGATCATAAAAAAAGAGTGAGCCCTGCGACAAAGCAGCAGATATCAAACTACAGCCGCTGCTAGCCCCTGCCAGGACGGCAGTGTTCCTGCTCATGTAGCCCTATGTCAACACTTCTCAATCGCAGCTCGGAGGCGTCTTGCTTGTCGATGGTCCACCTCGTATGGATGATGCCGCATGGCGGACTGGTGGGCTTCAACAGGCTACGAGCTAATTAGGTCACAGTTTTAAATTGCCAGGCCTGCTGAAGTACTGGCTCTCGATGTGCTGCATCCACTGCGCCTACATGCAAGCCGGGGCTGTCCGAGCAGACAGCCCCGCTGTCCACCGACCAACGACGGCTCTCTGTTTATAGCATCATACAGCAACTCAAGGCTTGAGCACTACAGACTGGGCGCTGCCTGGCGCTGGTCGTGCCAGTCCATCTCGCTGTAGGCCTCTTGCATAGCTTGTAACAGTTGTAACAGGTTTCATGGACAAAAACTTAAACAAATCGCGTAAAGGACGGCTGGCTCTTTTCGGTGGAAGCAAATGCTGACAAATCTTAAAGAAGCCATGGCGAATTCAGAGGGCACTCTGTACAAAGCCCCAGACATGGCGCAGCGATGCGGAGCACTGGCGGTAAGGTGGTGTTCAGCTTCAGCTTCGGCTAGCGAGCGCTCAAGCAGCTGCTGTTGCCAGCGCAGGCTCATGCTGCGCATGCGCATGGGTGCTCGCATCGACCGCGGCTTCGGGCTCGATCTCGGGCTCAATGGCTGCATGGACCTTGTGGTTTCCGAGGGCTGTCATGCGGATGTTGGTGCTTCGGTGGGCGGCTGCCGCTGCTTTGCCTGCCTGGCTCTCGCCCGCCAGGGCCTTGTCCAGGGCCTCGGCAGTTTCGGCATCGCTGCAAAGCGCCGCCAAGCCCCTGAGAGCAGGGCGAAGTGAAACCGACATTGAAAAGTCGACTATAAGGTGCGGAGGAAAGCTGAAAGACATTGAAAGACTATCCCCGCACCTGCGCCCCAACCGGCGCAGCTGCGCCCCCGTCATGGTCGAGGGGATCCTCACCTCCCCCGGCAGGTCCAGCGTGCGCAGGAAGGCCTGCAGCGACTCGGCGCTCCAGCGCGAGAGATCGTGGACCTAAGACTGTTGGTCAGACTGTCCGAAAGAGCTCAGACTCAAAGTGACTCTTTGATACTCTGTGACTCTTGGCATTTATACGACTTATAAGAGACGGGACCGGTAGGGGCCAGGCCTTAGAGGCAGCCCATTGCTCGGCCTTCCAGGACGAGAGGATCTGGGTGGCTTCCGCGTCGGCATCGCGAAGCACCCAGAGGTCATCTTGCACTTTCACATTCAGCTCTCGGTGCCAGCGCGCATCGATGAAGGTCTCTGTCTTCGCGCTCTGGGCCTCGTACTTCTTCATGATGCTGCCTCCCACGGCCGTCTTCATCTGGAAAGCGTGGAGGTTCAGTTGACCCTTGCGCGCATCTTGCAGCTTGGAGTGCAGGGCGCGGCCCCGGCCCTGGACGGCGTCGAAGCCCGCGGAGGTGACGGGAGCCTCGGGCGCCTCCTTGAAAGCTGCGGACCACTTCTCCCAAGCCCTGGCGGAGCGCATCATCCCCACGTGCTGCAACGTGTTCAGGGAGTGCTCCACGTCTGTGGGAGACGGGGACAACGTGGCCACCACGGTGGTCATGTGTGAGTCATCTGTGAAGGAACTCCTCAAGAGATGGGTGAGCCGGGATGATCGGAAGGGTACGTGCATCTCCGGGCCTTCAAGATCCTTCTGTTTGTTGTGCATCACCCGCGCACATTCCTTCAGCATGAGAAGCGAGTAGTTGATCAGGCCACCCCTCTCAGCCATGGACCGGCTGTGCATTTGAGTTTCGAAGTTTCTCTCCGAGCCAGCGAGATCGACCACACGGAAGAGCCCAGAACCCTCACCATCCTCGGGACCCGGGAACTTGAACTCCAGAATGCAGTGGGACCTCGAGGAGGCTTCGTTCCGCTCGGTGCACTCAGAGGATCGCCACAAGAACGCCTTGTCCATCGCATTGCAGAGCTCTGTCCTACGGGGATCTGCAGATCTGATCTACTTCCGGCATGTCAAGCTTAGGGCCTGGGGCGCATGAGCTTAGGATCCAAGGGCTTCCGGGTTGGATCTCCTGGACGTGCACACGATTGTCTGGGCACCTCGCACGTGCACGTTGCCGTCTTCGCCAGTCAAGCACTTCACTTGCCTTTTCTCCTCCCCCGCAAGCAAATCGAAGAAGGCTTCGCGCCCTCCGCGCGTCCCTGCCATCTCGTAGCAGCACATCTCCACTTTGTCCGTTTTTTTGAAGACGAGCTCTGACATGAAGTCCAGGGCTCCACGGGCCGTGTATGTCTTGCCAGTGCCAGTTTGGCCAAAAAAGACCACGGTTGCCCGACCTCCTTCAAGGGAAGCATTCAGCAAAGGCTCCACAGCCTCCTCAAACACCTCCTGGTTGTCAGCACGCTCATGAAACACTGCATCCAGGCAGAAGCGCGAGTGTACCGCATAGATGGTCCTGCCATCTCGATGGACACGCCCGTCATGTACGACGATTGCATTGTTGCCTCTTTCTGAGCTAATGGACTCGTAGAGTTTGTCTTCCAATTCTTGCGGCTGCAGAGGCCGAGTCCTTGCCATCACTCGGAAGTTCGTCTGCCTGGCACGGGCCTCTGCATTGGCCCTCGCCACGGAACCTTCCCAGGAAAGCTGTGCCACTTCCTCGTCGTAAAGAAAGGCCAGCGGAAGATACGAAAGTCCGTCGGGGAGCCGCTCCTCCAATCCTTTGGCCAAGGTAAGAGCGGACAACTTAGCACCGCGGTAGTCTCGAACAGCTTGCTGAAACGCACCGCCGAACTGTCGCCTGGCCGCGCGTGCGCAGACCAGCTTGTGATTGCTCGCCATTCCGGTTCAAGTCACTTGTTTTGACCAGTGGTAATTCCGACTATGCGGCTTTTGTGCTGCTGCATCGGTATGCTGCTACCGACACATGCCCCGCACGAAACATTGGAGGATTGTATGATACTGCGGAGATGTAGTTTCGACATGTGTACCATGGAGTCGAGGGCCCACATAAAAGCTGCGCATTCAGACTGTCATGTTAGCTCAACAACAGTTCACCCGATCGCATCCATCTCTGCAGCTACCATACCAAGTTCAGCAAGCACAGCACGAACGGCCTGCACATCCTCGCCGTAGTCCTGCCACGGCTCCCCATTCCACTGCTCTCCATATGCCTTGTCGGGTGTTACGGGCCCTCAAAGCACACGGAACAGGCCCCCTCAACAAACTGACAGCGTTGGCCTGTGGGGCGTTTCCGCCTCGGGAGCCGGTTCGAGCTGGAATGTGTCCATGGGGTTGCGGCTTATTCTCAAAACTCCTCCTGGCACATCTCCGGGAGCAGCGCCCTGATGGCCGTAGGGCGGAGCATAGGAGGCGTAGCCTGTGGACAGAGGAAGCCTTGCGACTCCGGGAAGCTCCTAAGCTTCCGGCGCCTGCGTTGTTGGGGGCCATCATGCTCCGCCTCCGCCGCGGCCGCGGCGGCCCCGGGGGCCTCAACTCCAGGTTTTTCTTTATGATCTTTACATGAGTTTATAGGAAGGTCTCGAAATTCCATCGAGGCCCTAGCCGCACGGCTCAGGATGCCCAGGCTCGCTTTCTCACCCACTTCAAGGCCCCAAACCCCCTCGTTGTGACAGCCCCCACTTGGGGACGAAGGTTCTTGAGCCCTCAAAGCACCGGAGCCGGGGAACCGAATGGATCGAATCCGAGATCTTGTGTTGCTGCACAGCCACGTTTGAGCAGTTCAGCTGCCGGCAGCAGTGATAGCGGAACCAGAGCCTGAAAGTCTCACCTTGCAGCAAGATCCACAGCCTGCAAGGTCTGCTTTTGCAGACAAGCCGTGAGTCGGCTGGAGGTGTGCGAGCGTGTGCACAAGATCGGAAGGTGCCGAGTGTTTGCAGCATTACATATGATATGACTACAAGACAGTTTCCTTGCAGACGAGCGAACGACCGGCTCAGATCAGACTCGCACCCGACCTTGGCAGGGGGTTGAGC